TTCATAAAGTGTCATAATGTATGAGGCTGCAGCAGAAACAACCAGAGGATCCATTCACTGAGATGTTCCACCTGAAGCTGCAGGAACCACCAGAAACCAGAGAGATCTTCAGGTTCTAATGTCCAGAACAAACCAGCAGATTAACCGAACCAGATAGACGGGACCAGATGAACTGGACCAGAATAACAGAACCAGATAGACGGGACCAGATGAACAGAACCAGATAGACAGGACCAGATGAACTGGACCAGAATAACAGAACCAGATTTAAAGGCTCGCTAGCTTCTAAAATCTTCCAATCGACTAAACTGATCAGAACCTGGTGAAAGCTGAAACATGGCAGCTTCAGATCATCAAGAACGAGAAATAAAGTGAAGCTGCTGACGTCATGTGATCAGTGAACAGCTCGTCAGTCGGATCAATAATCTCTCATCGGTTTGTATTCTGTTTAAAAAGACACGGTGGAGAAACATCTTCACCTGAACCACAAACCTCCACCAGCAGCTCTCCACCTGTGCAGCAGCAGCAGCAGGATTTTCAGGGAAACTTGAATGGAGTTCTGTTGACAGAAGTCGCTGCTTGTTCTCAGAGTCACAGGTCAAAAAACTCTGAACTCACAGACATGAAACTGGTATTTTTAGACTCTGTGTGACTTTAGTTGACTGATTCTATCACCATGTCTGGTGTCAGGACAAAAGAAACCTCAGAAAAACTTTTACAAATACAGAGAAAACGGCGCTACAAAACCTGCCTGAGATTCTGTCGGTTTTTAGTTTTTTTTCAGCCTCTCAGTGATTAAGTGACTGTTTTCTGAAAATGAATTCAAAGTATGAAGCAGTAGCTGCTGACACACAATCCGGCATATTTTAATGTGGTAATTTGACTAAATGTAAAAACTACGGGCTGAAACAAAGAACAGTTTGTTAGCTCACAGGTTGGACGGGAACGACGCGCTTCCTGGTCACCTCCCGCAGAGCACCATGGGAGCTGTAGTCCCACCGCGTTCAGCAGAACGGCGTCTCTCAGCTGATGAATGTCTGATCTGTTCGTGATTCTGCTGCGTCACACAGACACAGAAATTCAGCCGGAAGCAGCAGAAGTTCAGCTTCCGGTGGAGAAAAGCTCAGTGAAGAGAAGACAAAGAAAAACGTCTCCAGACTTCTGTAGTTTCTAATTTTATACAGAACACATAAAATCTGAGCACACGTTTAGTTTGTGTTCCTTCTTCTGGCATTTACGTCAAACATTAAAGTTAAAGTATGACTTCATCAGAACACAGTTCCCCTCGGAGTGGATCCTGTCTACAGAAGGTTCTGGTAGGTTCTGGAGGTAAACCGGTCCTCCCATTGTCTAGAACTGGTTCTGACCAGCCACCATCACACATGCTAATATGAGCCTGGAAAGTTTTCCCAGAATGCACTTTNCATTCTGTCAGTAAACATGATTCAATCATTCTAATTGCCGGCGTTTCATTGATTAGCGGTGATCAATCATGTCTGTGATCTAAATCTGAGGCTCACGTGGACCTGGGAGGTTCTGCTGTTGTTCCAGAACCTTTCATGCGGCTGAACCTCTAGCTGTGACTAAAGGCCCCAGAGCTCCAGTAACACACACGCTGGTTTTCCAGAAGCGGTTCAGTTCCATCACATCCGGCCACAAGGTTCCCTCCTCCGGTCCAGCAGCATGTTCCACATTTTCCTCAGAGCGGATCCAAACCAAAGCCGACTGTGATGAAGTCACGCTGCAGCGTTACGTAACTTCACGACTTCCACAGATTGGCTTCCAGCTGCCTTCAGGCTGACATCACGTTCTGGCCTGGACTGGTTCTGGACTGGTTCTACGGCCTTCACCACCAGGGGCCTGGACTAGAGGCGGGATCTGGGGTTATCGAGGTATCTTCAGGGTAAATCCTGGGTCTTCAGTTCTACGACGGTGGTTCTCTTCTTACCGGGTCCATCACCATGGTAACCTCGCTGAACGGCTAACCTGCTCCGCAGCAGGTTCTGCTGGAGGTTGAGACCACTGGTATAAAACACCTCCACTGGAAACCAGTTCTCTGCCGTAAACCTTCAGAAGGACAGAAAACGAAGCAGCTCTCACGCAGTGATCAGGTTTTATGATAAACTAATGAGCTGATCGTCCACACAGGCAGCAGCTTCCTGCCACCATTCCTTCCTGCTCTGCTCTCTTTCTGCTCCTATCATGGTTTTATGTTCTTCATATCTGGTCCAGATGATGTTCTGCTCCTCGGCGGTAAAGTGAGCCGCTCTGCAGCCAGACTGGTCCGTAGTCCTGATTGGTCAGAGGCCCATAACTCCGCCCATTTTATGTGCACGCGCTCAGACCAACAACAACAA